CGACGTGGCCTCCCCCCCCGCGGGCGGCCCCTTCCAGCCCTCCCCCGCCAGCCCCCCACCCTCTCTCGGCAGGTATTTTTCAGTAGATAGAGGGGACGGGGACGGGTGAGCCGGGCACCGGGGGACCCCGCACTGCCCCGTGCACGGGGGGGCTCCTGCCTTTGTGCAGCTTTGGTGGGGTGGCCAGCGGGACGAGGGTCTTGGGTGAGGGGTCCGGGGAGAGTCGGTGATGGGGAGGCTGGACCGGGGCATGGGCAGGGTGGTGGGGACAGCATGGGGGACCGCGTGGCACCGCCGCGAAGCCTGCAGGTGCTGGGCTGGCATCTCCCCTGTCCGCTGCTCGGCCGTGATGCCGGGGTGGTGCCCGCAGGCTAGAGCCGGGCGAGGGGGGTGCGGGCAGCCCCGGCGAGGCCGGCGTCTCGGAGCAGCCCAGCGCCTACCACGACATCTGGAGCCTGCGCGCCTCGCTGGAGCTGTACGCCTCCTCCGAGCGGAGCAACGACCAGGACTCGGTGCGCAGTGACGGCGGGGACAGCGTCTCCTCTGCCGGTGGCATGCCCCCCTGCCCCTCCTCCTCCCTGGATGAGGCCGAAGGCCCCGAGGAGAAGCTCTGGGGTCGGCCCAAGCCGGAGGAGTCAGAGCCCGGCACGCGCAAGCTGCTGCAGATGGACAGTGGCTACGCCTCCATCGAGGCGCCCAGCCGGGGGGGCGAGGAAGGGCCCCCCAAGGACCAGACGGCCTCTGAGAAGCGCATTTGCTTCACCAGCGCGGGGAGGAAAGGTACCATCTTCGAGAGCTTTGAGGGCCGGGAGCCAGAAGAGGAGGAGGAGGAGGAAGAGGAGGGGGAGGAGGAGGAGGAGGAGGAAGAGGGGAGCATGGCCCGGGGCGCAGCAGGTGGGGGACACCCCCGTCCCCACAGCCCCCTGGCCTGGTCCCCGTACGGGCAGATGTTCCCGGGGCGGGATGCGCTGCCCCGGCGGGACTACAGCATCGACGAGAAGACGGACGCCCTGTTCAACGCCTTCGTGCGCCATGACCCCCAGTTCGACGAGTCGCCGCTGCGGGGGAAGCACCGCTCCCGCACCCACCTCCGCAAGCAGTGGCAGCACACCAAGCAGTACAGTGACCCCGGCGTGCGCTACCCCGCGCTGGAGCGGCATCGCACGCCCCTGCGCCGCGGGGACACCGCCAACTACCCCCTGGACGCCCGCTTCCACAGCCCCCTGCCCCGCATCGTCAGCGCCGGCGATGAGGAGGCGGCGGAGGCGGCCGATGGGGTCCCCCCTGCCCCGGCGCTGCCCGAACGACTGCCCCGGCCCCGGGAGGTGCCTGGGGCTGGGCTCCAGCTCGGAGCTGATGGACAAGATCGCCGGTGGCCTCGAGGAGCGGCTCTACAGGCACTTGAGGAAAGCGGGAGAGAGCACCGAGTGCACGGTGGCCGTGGCGGCCAGCGATGCCCCCCCCGACCACAGTCCTGTCTAGGCCCAGCGCAAGGGGGAGAGACCCTGGCGCAGGGGGGCTCGGCCCCCACCGGGGTTCAGGGCTCCATCCCCTTCTGCTGCCGGCGTGGGGACCAGCCCGGTGCCCGGAGCGCTGTGGGAAGGGTGGCCCTGCCATGGGAAGGCCAGGAGGGCGCGTGGGGTCCCCTGGCCATACCCACCACGGGGGTCCAGTAGCGTGGGGTGGCCGAGCCCCCTCGCTCCCAGGAGCGAGGTGCCAGGCGGCGGCGGGCCCGGGCTGGGGGTGCCCGGGGGCGGGTTGGGGTGCAGAGGTGGAGCAGAGCGTTGGCTGGGAGGTCAGCGAGGAGGGACTTTGCTAATAAACCCCCAAACCCAGCTGAGGCCTAATCCTTACCTCACGGCAGAGCTGTGTAGCAGATACGCTCTCCCCCCCCTCTCTCCAGTTTTTTTACAAGCAATAATGCCTCCCGTCCGGCCAGAAAACGTCCTCATGAGGAAGGGGCCGGAGCTGGGCATCCCCCTGGCCGGCTGGGGGATGCTGGTGGTGCCGCCCTGGCAGGGGGGACAGTTATTTGGGGAGGGGGTAGTCGCCTCCTTGTGCCCACGAGCCGCCCGGCGCTACAGGGAGCCTGGGATCTAAACTGGAAGCGGGGGCCTGGGGCTGCCGTGCCGGGACAGGAGGATGCTTGAGGGGTCTGTGTGTCCCCCCCCCGGGGGCACAGGTGAGCCGTGGGCCCCGCAGCAGCATCCCGAGGGCTGGGGAGGCAGGACCAGCCCTGGGGCACCCCTGTAAATACCCCCCGTAGGGGTGGGGGCTGCCCGTCGCCTGCCCCCGGTGCTGTCCCCTCTGCCCAGGCACGCAGGGCGAGAGCAGAGCGTGGGGTCGGGCCAGCATGTGCCGTGGGTGACCCCCGAGTGCTCCGCACCCCCCGCCCTCCCCGGGAGCTCAGTGCCGGGCTCGAGGCGTTCGGAGGATATTTATTGATTTGTATGGAGGGGGATGCTGCTGCTCTGGGGAAGGGGTTTGCTTTTTATTGGGTTTTTATTTGTGTTTCAAAGGATGGGTGGGGGAAAAAAAAAAAAAAGCCCAAGATATGTTACCTGGGAGACTCGGCAGCAGGGCAGGCAGGAGGGGCAGGCAGGGCACGGCCGAGGGCCCCCCACGCCCCTCCACGGCACCCCAATTGCATGCGAGTAAAGAGGCCGGGTCGCTCCTTCCCTCTGCAAAGTCTCTGTCCAAAGCACTAACTCGATCTACAACTCAGCATTTTTAAGTCTATAAACAAAGGAGAAAAAAAACCAAACAAACCAAGTGTGACTTTTCTGAGCTTGCTTCTTACCTTCCACCCCCCCAGGGACAGCGTCCCCCCCTGCCCAGGAGCTGCTGGGGAGGGCAGGGGCCCGCTCCTGCCCCGGCATCGCCCCTGCGGCTGCTCCCAGAAGAGCTGGGTTTGCCTGGGGGAGCCCGCACCCACCCAAAAGGAGCACAGCCCCCGGGAAGAGGGGCTGGCCCACACCCCCCACCCCGCTTGCTGCAGGAGGAAGGACATGAAACCCACCTCACTGTTTTCACTTTATTTTTTTTTTCTTTAAAAAAAAAAAAAAAGAAAAAAAGACGACGAACGCACCCATTCCCTTTTCCGAGCCCTTTTACAGCATGCAGGTTTAATAGAGTTTTGCTTTGTCTTAATACCTGTTTTTTTTCCTCATCTGGTTTATTTTAAACACATCACGATGTGTAGGAATCTCTAGATATACCGCAAATATAAACAAAAAAAAAAGAGGAAAATATATAATATATAACAGTAGTCTAAAACATAAAGTGCACGGCAATGGCTTTGCACGACTTCTACACAGCCAGGGTGGGCACGGCCGAGGGCGGCGGGGGGGGGCGCGGGTCCCACCGCACCCCGGCCCCGCTCGTCCCACCCTTCCCATCGCAAAATTAAACAGAATCAGTGTCTTGATTGGCAAAGAGTGATTGGGGAGGAGGGGCAGCATCTTCGCAGTCAGAGATTTCATCTTCCGAGGTGGTAAGTGGGGTCTGGCCACCATCAGCTTCTGGTTCCTGGCGCTGTCCGGAGCGGGGGGGCCGCAGGGAAGGTGGGGGGCGGTTTCCTTGGTTGGTTTCCTCTGGTTTCTTTTTGGATCGCAAGCGCAGTCCACTCCCAGGAGAGAGGCAGAGATGGGGCGAGGATGGGGGGGATGCGGGCTAGCCCGGGCCCTGGGACGCTGTTTGCAGGAGAACAGAGAGGAGGGGGGGTTAGACAGGGCAGGGCTGGTGCCAAACTGGGGGTGCAAGCCCCTGCTCTGCTCCTGGCCCCCGCTGTGGCCAGGGGCAGGTCGCAGCCTGCTCCGGGTCTCCCTCTCCCGCCAGCGCCGTGCGGATGGGAGGGAGAGGGGGCCTGGGGTGCCTGCTCTGTCCCCGGGAGCGGTAGGCGTGCTTGCACAGCACCGGGCCCTTCGGCCAGGTAGCCCCAGACCTGGCGCTGAAGCCGGGAAGCAAAAACCCAAGGGGAAAATGCAGTCAAGGAACTTCATTTATGCCGAGGGGAGCGCTTTTTTTCTTTCAAAGCTTTTAAGGTGCTGACTAAAGGGTGGGCAGGCGATTTCCAACCCGGCTGTCCCCGCAATGCATGCGGGAGGAGAGCAGAGGCAGTGACCGAACCAGGCCCCGGCAGCTGGCACGGACTTTCTCCTTCCCGAAACCGCTGGGCAGCTGCCGTGGAGCCCCCACGCCGCATACCCGAGCGGGAAGGGGGGAGAGGAGCAGCAGATCCCCGGGGAGACCCAGATCCAAGGCATTTGCTTGCCGATACAGTAACTCCCCATGCAGGTGACTCACTCCCAGCCATGAATTAAAGATGAAAGCTGCCACAGGGGCTGAGCGCGGGTCTGACAGCTGCAGGGGGAGGAACAGGCTTTTATTTCTGGCTTTTTTTTCACACCACAAAGCTGGTCGTGATCCAAACAGATAACAGAGCCTCAAGCCCCACGGAGCGCCGGTGACGAGCACAAGCGTGAGGCCGGGGGTGGATGAGCGCTGAACATGAGTCATTGCTGGCTCACTTATGAATGAGGGGTGGGAAGGAGGGGACAGAGCTGAGGAGCCGAGGAAAGAGCCGGAAGGAGGAGGGGGAAGCAGGGAGGGCGCTCAGCTTTCCCCAAGGAGAGGAAGGGGCTTGGGCATGGCAGTGGCCCGGCCACGGGTGACGCGGCCACCTCCCAGACCAGGTGGGAGGTCCCACGGGGGTCTCTCTTAGGGACACCTCTGGAAACATCCCGGTGCTCAGCGTCCCGCTGCAGCCCAGCTCCTCTGCACGCCGGGGGCTTTGTGCTCCCCCCCATGCTGGGAGCAGAGCAGGGGAGAGAAAGCGGGGGGACCCCGGTGCCAGGGAAAGGGGTTGTCACAACAGCCTGACTGCAGCCCAGGAGGGGAGAAAGGATTATGACAACAGCTCTCGCCTGACACAGCAGCAGCTTGCAAGGAGGGGGTAGAGCAGAGCCAGGCAAGCAGCAGAGCAGGGAGCACAGGGGGGTCCCCACTGGGCTCTGCACACCCCCCCCCCCCCCCACCCCCCCACCACAGGGGATCCAGGCTCTGGGTGCCGGGGACATTTGCAGAGGGATGCTCAGGACCCAGACCCTTCCCCTCTCCACACCTGGGACTACAAAACACCCTTTCTAGCTCCCTCCTGCTGCCCACCGTTGGGGCAGGCTCAGACGTCCCCCCCTCTTCCCTGGGCAGTCACCCAGGGTGGCCACCCCCCGTGGGGACCGGGCTGCCCCTACCTGAGGCTCCCGCCTCACTGCTGCTTGCAGGTGGAGAGCTTGCGGATCTTGCTGCTGGCAGAGCAGGCCTTGCGGGAGGGGTTGGAAGAGGCGCTCGCCCGCCGCTCTGCCTTCGATTTGGTGCTCAGCTGTCCCGTCTCCGTCCCGTTCATGCACACGGCCTTGGGCAGCCCTTTGCCGCGGCTCTGCCCGTTCTGCCCTGCCTCCTCCTCAGGCACCTGTCCTGCAAGGGAAGAGAGATGGTGAGGCAGAGGGAGGGCAGCGGCCCCAGGGCATCGCCTCCAGCAGAAGAGCAACCCTTCCCCTCGCTCAGAAGGCATGCTGCTCCTGAGGGAAATCAGAGCCCGTTTCTACACCTTTAAGGACCCCACAGGGGAGACAGCCCAAACAGGGGATGCGTGAGGCAGGGAGCCCGAGACCACATCTCCCTCCCACCGAGGACTGGTTTTACCCCTGTTTCCCCAGCACACAAAAGAAAACCTGAGGCAGTGAACGAGAACCATGGGCACGGCCAGTCCCGGCCTCGAGAATGGCACTCCCCGTCCTCCCCGAGCAGGCTGGGCGGCCACCATGCCCACCCTGAACCCTCAGGCAGCAGCCCAGCTCCCGGCCAGGGAGCAGAGGGGCAGCAGTGGAGGAATTCACTCCTCCTCCCTCCTGCTACCTTCTCTGGAGGACGGTGCAAGTCCCAGCCCCATCCACCGACCTGCGGAGTACCCAGGGGCTTGATGTGTTTGTAGAGCAAACACCCATCTGCTTTCGCGGCGCAGAGGAAGGTCTGCTTCACCCGCAGCAGCACGGCCATGTCTGGCAGGGGCTGGGGGCACTGCCCATTTAGGCAGTGATGCAGCAGCTCGAGCATGCCACCGTCCCCTAAAGGGGACACCCAGATGGGAGAATGGCCTCAGATCAGCCCCCCTCCCCTCCTCTGTGGGCCAGCTCAGTGTGACTCAGCACAGCAGATGAAGAGCCATTTCCAGAGGCATCTGCCCGCTGCCATGGCTGGAAGGGGCTCGGGTCACATCCATTCACTTGGGGAGTGATGAAGGGTCCCCCCCCCGGCGCAGCCCTGGCCCGGAGCAGGAGGGGACACCGCAGCCCAGCGCTCTCATGGGTAACGCGGTGCATCCCCCAGCCAGACGCAGGGCTGATGAGAGAATTCATCAGGGTCCCAGCTCCCCCCTACCCAGGGGCTTGATGTGTTTGTAGAGCAAACACCCATCTGCTTTCGCGGCGCAGAGGAAGGTCTGCTTCACCCGCAGCAGCACGGCCATGTCTGGCAGGGGCTGGGGGCACTGCCCATTTAGGCAGTGATGCAGCAGCTCAAGCACGCCACCGTCCCCTAAAGGGGACACCCAGATGGGAGAATGGCCTCAGATCAGCCCCCCTCCCCTCCTCTGTGGGCCAGCTCAGTGTGACTCAGCACAGCAGATGAAGAGCCATTTCCAGAGGCATCTGCCCGCTGCCATGGCTGGAAGGGGCTCGGGTCACATCCATTCACTTGGGGAGTGATGAAGGGTCCCCCCCCCGGGCGCAGCCCTGCCCGGAGCAGGAGGGGACACCGCAGCCCAGCGCTCTCATGGGTAACGCGGTGCATCCCCCAGCCAGACGCAGGGCTGATGAGAGAATTCATCAGGTTCCCAGCTCCCCCCCACCGGATCCAGCCGAGGCAATTTCCTTCCAGCAGGAACGTCACGCTCCAGGGCCCTTCAGTTATGACTCAGAGGTTTGAGTGGAAGCGAAGGCTGTAAGACGATTATGTATAATTTTCTTTAAAGGATGCTCAATCCTTTCTCCGCCAAGGCCAAACGGCACGTCATCTCTCTGTACTTGCGCCAATGATCACCCCACTGCTGCTGAGCTCGGGGAGGAAGGGGACACACAAGGATTGGGGCGGTGGGAGAGCCGCTTCTCCTCTGGAGGAGAGTGGCGGGATCCACCTTGGACCCCTGCGGTCTCCTCTGCCTCGCTGCATCCCTCCCGGGTACCGCTGCGGGCTCCCATCCGCTCTGCTCCGCTCCCATCCTCCATCCTGCATCAGGGGGCCCAGCGCATCCTCCACAGGTGAAGAGTCATTTGGGAAAGAAAAGCTGCAAGGGGACACAGAGGTCACCTTGTTCAGACAAAGTCACCTTCAGCGCCCACCTTCCTCTCCCTGGAGGGCTCGTGCTGGGGAGAGGGATCAGCCTCGCCGAACACTCGCAGAGACCCAAAGCAGCAAAGGCGGCAGGAGCCCAGACCCAGCGCAGACCACAGCTCCTCTGCCTGGTGGGGGGGACCAGCTTTGGTAAAGCCTCACCGGTGCAGAGACCGGGAGCAAAGTGCAGGCTGCAGCAGGGCAACCCCCAGCAGGCTAGAGTGAAAACGCATCCTTGGAAATAAGGCAGCAGATTGAGCACTTCCATGGCCAGCATGGCCTGGCGCAGGCTGCGAGCACCAGAGGACCAGGGTGCTCACCGGGGAGTGGATTTCTCCCCCTAAAAGCAGGCCTAGCTGCAGAGCTGGGCCCAGGCAGGAATTACCTTGAGAAATTACCCTGCTGATTGATCCTGCCCTGGCGCAGGCTGCGAGCACCAGAGGACCAGGGTGCTCACCGGGGAGTGGATTTCTCCCCCTAAAAGCAGGCCTAGCTGCAGAGCTGGGCCCAGGCAGGAATTACCTTGAGAAATTACCCTGCTGATTGATCCACAGATCAAAGCAGTCAGTCCTTCAAGCTAGTCAGCTGCGCTCCCGGCTTGCTGAGAGCTCAGGAGCACCTTCCCAGTGCTGTGGTTTGGACACTCCAGCACACCAGAGCTCGGCCTCTGGCCATGCAAAACAGGGTGAGGTACCACTGGTCCACCAGAGGCTCAGGACAGGGGCCCAAAAACAGCGAGAGGGAGGACAGGACGGATCCGCCTATTGCAGGGAGATTCTGGGTTACAAGTGCAATTGATTCCCCCATGAACCTGCTGGTGAGCGGCCCCTTATATCCCTCCCCGACGGCTCCACCGAGTCTTGACACAGCTCCCAGTTACTGGCTTGTTGCCGCTTACCTGAGCGCTTCTGCCTTGCCGCGGGAGGAGACAAGGACTGACTCGCCAGGGATGGCTGCTGGCTTCGTGCACCCAAGCCTATCGCTGCCAGAGCCGATGGCACCCACCGGTCCAGCCTTGCACCTCCCAAGAAACACAGTCCCAGCTCCTCGCACAGCTCACCACGACGGATGGAAGTCCCTTGGACATCTGTCACTACCTCAAATACTTTCTGAAAATGACTGGCAAGGTGAGAGGCTCAGGAGCACGAAGCAGAAACGCTAGCCGTACCCGGCTGTGCACTTACAGACCTGCTAGTGATCTGATCAGCTTCCAGCTTCTGACCCCTTAAGAGGAGATGACTTGCTAGAAAAGGCTGAGACACCCAACCTCCAAGAGCTCCTTCAGGGATGGGGCTCTCCCCAGCGACTCGGAGCAGAGCAGCTCGCCGTGGGTCAGGCTGCAGCCCGAGAGCAGCGCAGCCTGGCCATACCCTCCACCCAGAGTTCAGGGTTTTTTCTCTTCTCCCTACATCCCAACTGCATGTCTGCAGAGCCTCAAATAACCCCATTCGGAGCAAAGCTGAACACTTATGCTTCCCCTCCCTCAGCTGAACTCAGGCCAAGTCCATTAACATTTCTGACTGGGGAGGGAAAAAAAATAAATCCAAACAGTTCATTTGTCTTTTGTGTGACTCTTCCCTCCTCCCCTTCCCACCCTGCTTGAAAAGCACAGTCCTGGGAGTCTATTATGGATACCAAGGAGGGAGGGTGAATCGCAAGCTAATTTTACCTCCTTCACCAATGACAGTTGCTGACGTTCAAATTAATGAAAATAAAAATTCAACACGGGATGAAGTCTTGGCAACTGTCTGCCCACGCGGAAGCCAGTGACCCAGTGCTGTGTCTGTTCGAACAGCTATATCCTACCTTACCATTACCAGCTGAACAGTGCTAAAAATAAAATAAATAAAAGGAGGGCCGAGAGAGGCATTGAGAACGTGCATGTTCATCCTTGCCACCTCTCACATTTCTTAATGGCTCCATCCAGCTCATTCAGGCACAAAAAAGGTTTCAAAATAAAACCGAAGAGCTTTTGAATTGCTGTGTTTGTCAGACACAAACATGCATACATGATTTGCAGCTAGAAACGCACCTTTTCAAGCACCAGGCATTACTTAAGACTCCAGTCCTGGCTTTATTTTCCAGTCTCAGACTGAATGCTAAGAATGCAAAACAAAAACAACCCAACACCCCCGAATCAAGCTATGCAGCCATTTGCCTCTGCAGGAGGACTGGGCTGCAACGGAGGAAGGGGTTAATGGTAGGGGAGAAAAAAAAAAGCAGAGCACAGCCTTCTAAATCTGAAACGCAGCACAAAAGCAACAAGCAAGATGCTTACATCCATTTATTGCATATGCTGCCTCTCTCCAAATAAGAAGGCAGCCACTTCTGGAGAGGATGCTTCGTCACGTGCTCAATGCCACCGTTATTCTCTCCTCAGCACTTCCCTCGGAAGAGATGTTTAACACCGATTGAACCAGGGGCACGTAACATTTAAAGCTCTCTATAGAGCTGCATAAATCTTGAAATAACCCTTTAAAAATAAAAGCACATTCTCAAAGCCCCTTCTTCCTCTGAAGAACACAAGATTTAATGAGGTTCCCTCTTTTCCCCTCCCAAATTGAACACCCACTCCCACCTATGAGTCACTTGTACTCCTGCTCTTGCTGCCCAGCAGAACCACAACTGAATTGATCAGTCATTTACAAGTTTTTTTAAAATTTTTATTTTAATATGGCATCACTGTTCGAAATTTAACACTCGCATGGAGCTGAGCAAGTTCAAAAGGATCCTGCAGGAAGACTTGGGTAAAAAAAGATTAACATTTATTATCTATGCAAGCTGCCCCCCTGCCTTTGCAAATGCCATGCAAGCCCACCAGAGCAGACTGTACCACGCTAGGCTCCCTCCTCACCCCCATTCCTCCCATGAGCTTGTTTGAGTGTTGCACTTCTGGAGAGGGGATTTCTGTCCATCACAAACGCTGAACCTGTAAACTGCACCTTCATATCCCATCTCACCAGCCCTTCTTACCCCCCCCCTTTTTTTTTTTTTTTTTT